GTCTTAACTGACAGCAGGTTTACGTCTAAATAAAAACAAAAAAAAAAAAAAAAAAAATATATGGTGTCTTCTTCTTCCCTTCGCCCACCGTGCCACCACCATCTCAGCCAAAAAAATCAATCAGCCACCGGCCCCGTGAGCACCGTTCTCCACTCTCTCGCAACCACCAACCCCACCCCGGCAAATCATCATTTCCACCTCTAAACTATTTCCAACCCGCCGCCGCCATTACTCGCCCCGTTTCCTCGTATAAAACAAATATTCTCCAATTTCTTTTTGAGCAATCACCATCTCCGGCAAATCATCTCCACCTCCACCTTCCCTACCTTGATTCCACCTCTAAACTAATTTCAACAGCCGCCGTCACCTACCTCGTTTCATCCTTAGTCCGCCGACCAAGTGTTCGACCATAGCAGTAAAAAAAGATCTCCCCAATTTTTCTTTTTAAGAAATCACCATCTCCGCCTCTGCTCTTCCGACGTCAAAGACCTGGCTCGCCGACGAAGCTATATCCTTGAAAGGAGGAGGGGTGGTGGTCGTCGGAAAATTTAGGATTTTTTTTTAAATTATTGTTTAATGACCCTTTATTCTGCTCACATTAAAACACAAAAGTACCGTAATTGTAAAATACATGAAATTCATTTTCAGATATAATTACATATATACACATGAAATTAACTGCATAAAAAAAAATGAAATAAATAAATAGCTAGAGATGAAGAGCAGCAAATAGGTAAATATGCACTTAATTAGTGGTCCTTTTTCTTTCCCCTGTTTTAATGGCGAAAAGGGTTTTTTTTTTTAAACAAAACAACAATATATCACGGGTTAATGGTGACCCATGAAACAGAGCAATGATTAGAATTTAGAAGAATTAAGGAGAAAATAGTCTAAGGAAATTAAAAGAAGCTCAGATTTCTTTTGTGCAGACATGGTTTGGATTTTGGGAAGGAAGATGGGTGATTGTCTCGTGGGTTTTGGGGAAGGAAGGTGGGTGATGGTGTGATGAATGACAGCTTTTTTTCCTTTTTTTTCTTTTTTTCTTTTTGTCTTTTTTTTTCTTTGTTTTTTTAATATTTATTTTGTATTTAATATTAAAGATGCAAGTGAAGGGACAAATTTACCCTTTAAAATCTCACGTGCAAAGCACGTGTTTTAACATTCCGGTCAGAATTGCCGGAAAATTGAGTTTAGGGGGCACCGTGCAACGAATTAACGAGTTCAGGTAAAAACGTGCAATTTTTTTTTGTTTGGGGGGTAAAGTGCAAATCGGCCCTTAGTTTAGGGGGTAAACTGCTTTTTACTCTTTTTAAAATGGGGTTATTTTTGAAGTAGTAATTAAATTGGTGTTGGCCGCCACCGGGAACGGCGGCATCGGACGGAGACGCCACCGCTGGTGGCGGCACCGGGAGGAGACGCCGCCACCAGTGGCGTCTTCTACTTTTTGAATTATTATTTTAATATTTTAATATTTTAATATTTTAATATTTTTTAATATTTTATTATTTTAATATTTTTTAATATTTTATTATTTTAATATTTTCTTATTTTTTAGTATTTTTATTATTTCTTAATATTTTAATATTTTCTGATTTTTTTAATATTTTCTGATTTTTAATTTTTTTTTACAAATAAAACAATTCTAACTACATTTTATTAAATTTATTACATTTTATCAATTAGTGTTAAATTAATCAGTGCATATATTTATCTAATCAACACAAAAAAATATGTAGACAAAAACAAAAGGAGTTTCTAGAAAATAAAAGAGTTATATAAAATAAATAGGTCCAATAAAAGAGTTATATAAAATAAATAGGTCCAAAATAGCTAGAGAATCGTAGATAGACCAACTAAATCTGTAAATATGGGTACCTGAGATGTAGACGCACCGAACATATCCATAAATCCCTGTGTAGTAGAACTATTTATTTTATATAACTCTTTTATTGGACCTATTTATTTTATATAACTCTTTTATTGGACCTATTTATTTTATATAACTC